GTCCAGCCCCTGAGCAGGACCAGCCAGGCCCAGGTCTGGTCAGGAAGGAGGTCCTGCCAGTCAGCTGGGGCTTATGCCATCTGCTGCCTCCCAAACGCCCAGGTGGACTTAGGACCTAAAACGAAGAATTTGAATCCTTGGCCTCTCTCCCAGACCACAGTCTCAGGGACCTTTACTGGTCAGAGACACAGACATGCTTCATGAACACACGGTTGCCATATTTCCTCTGGCCACCACCCTTGTTCTCACATGCCCAGCTGACTCCTCGCCGAGTCTGAGATGCCTAGCACGATACAGACCACCAGATGCACCCCACAGTGGCCGGCTGCTGTGCTGGGGCCAGCGAGTGGCTGTCGGATCGAGACCTGGAAGGAAAGCATTGATCCTTGCTTGCCTGGAAGGCTCCAGCAACTCAGCGTTTGTTCGGAAATAATTTTGGTGAAAACATTAAAAATGTGATTAAAATTACAGTTTATTCAGAAAGCTCATCATCCTTTTGCAGCCTTCTCACCTCCTAGACCCAGACGGAGTTGAAATGTTATCAGAAGTTATTCCCAGGGAAACGGGCATTAGGCAGAAGAAGCATGAGCCAGCTTACAGCAGATGAGGACCTTAATGGCGTTTTTCTTTTTTAAGAAATGGTGGGAGGTTTCAAATACCCCCAAAGAAAGCCTAGTTTCCTTTGCTTGGCAGTGGGGTTGGCTCTGAATGAAATTCCAGATGTCTGTGCAGGAGTTTGTCCTGCTGGTCAGTGTTTAGCTCCAGTGGACATGGCTGCCCACCACTGGGGTCAGAATCCAAAAAAAGCTTCACCTTCTTGCCTTCATCTCAAGATGCAAACATAGACATTCATAGACATCTTAGTGAATTTCTGGGTCTTTTAGCCAAAAACTTGGCCAAGATTTGTCTTATTGGACCATTTCTTATACGATGAGAATTTTTACAACAGTTTATATTTTAGTGGAAACACTCATCTCACCTCTAAAGATGCTGTCCGGCTGTACTTGGTCTCTCCCCATCTCATGTCAGCCTGTCAGCTGGATCCTCTAGGGACAGAGTCAGGCCCTACCGGAAAGCCTGAAGATGGACCGACGCCCCACTGGAAGGCCTGCAGATTCACAAAGCGCTTCTTCCTTTCTTAAACTGACAAATCAGATTAGAGGGATAAGAGCAAAAAGAAGTCATCATGGAGAAGTTTTTGGCCCAAGGATTTAGGGCCTGTGCTGAGCTCACTCAGCCATCCACATTCCCTTGGCGTCAGGTGTAGCATCCAGAACAGAATTAACGACTTTCTCCCTTGAGAGCAGTGCCTACTGGCTCAGTGGAGGGGAAGCCATGCTGGACCCCATTGTCTACCAGGAGAATGTCAGAGCGGCCTGCTGCCCCAGGACTCTAGGCACAACCATGTCTGCCTGAAGAGCAAGCACTTGGAGCCACAGCTGGGGAGCTGCGAACACCCTGGTCTCCAGAGCAGCTGACCAAGCAACCCTGACATCTGTGTTCCCTACTTTCCCATAAAAGAGAATGGCGAATCCCATGGGACCGGCACAGGGCTCCGAAGCATTGTCTCAGGGGCCGCCTGCCTTGGCAGATCAGGGGTCCCCCTCCATTTAACATCGAAAGGACTCATAGACCAGCTCCTTCTCCCTGTGGTGGTCAGCGTTTTCCGTCCCCAGGATTTAGATTGCCCATGGTGCAGTCAATTATGGCTCTAAACATACCTGTACTTCCTTGCTGCTCCCGTTACTGAGCTTGCAAGTTCCCAGTGAGCTGTGTGTGGTCAGCAGGTGGCGCTCTCAGCCCCCCTGGATCTCCAGCTAGCAGGCTGGGCTGGACACGCTGGCTTGGCAGAAGTGTGATGCTGTTGGCCATTGCTTCCCACACTCAGGAACTCGGCATCAGCCCCAGGCATGGCCACCAGCTCACCCCCTCCAATTCTTAACTTATCTATCACCCTGGTTCTTGTTGCAGGCAAGAAGGTTCAGTTTAGGAAACCAGCCCCAGGGGCGACGGAGACTGTGCCCTCCCGGAAGCGGGCAACCCCCATTAACCTGGCAAATGCCATCAAGAAAAGTGGTGTTAGCGGGGGCGGTGGGGTATCTCAGAGGCCTTTCCGTGACCGGGTGCTACATCTTCTGGCACTGAGGCCCTACCGGAAGGCTGAACTGTTGCTGCGGCTACAGAAGGATGGCCTGGCGCAGGCAGACAAGGACACGCTGGACAGCCTCCTCCAACAGGTGCATGCTTACCCAGGGCTGGCTGGGGTGGGGTGGGGTGGGATGGGATTCAGCCAGCCCATGAGCAGCCTCTACAGACGGTCTGGACACACACCCTGTTCCTTAACACCTGTTAACACATAGGCAGCGGGCACTGCACAGGAGATCCAAGACTGCAGTTGCACAAGCTTTTTAGAATTGAGTGAAATCAAGGAAAGCACACGTTGGTGAGAGCCCCTCACCAGCTGTGATCCCAGGCAGGAGGCTTCACTTCTGTACCTCTAGATTCCATCTGTGGCTGGGGCATGGCTGCAGCACCTCTTATAGTGCCTAAGGCTTACAGGAGGGTGCTCTGCCTGTAGGAACATGGTGCTGGCAGATAAGCCTACTACTAAGAAATAGCCTGAGCTTTGGAGCAAGTGAGGTGAGCCCAGTCACCTTCCTGAGGCCCTGCCCTGGTTCCCAGGATTCCAGGAGGTAGCCTGAGGACTGCTAGGAAGCGAGTGGCTTGCTCTGGCTTCACCACATCAGCCAGGCCATGCTGATGCCACTTCATTGTGTGGCTGTGAGGACAGTCATGCCAGCACCCAAGGAGGAGGTGTGGTCGAGCCCCTCCAAGTCCCCTCTTCCAGCTCACCTGTTCTTCCTACTTTCCGCCTCCGACACTCCGGGCACTTGGCCCGGGCCTCTTGTGGCAGAGAGCCCATGCCGAGATGGTAGCTGTATCTGAGGATGAATTTTCATGTTTGCCGAGTTCCTCAGCGGGCCTCTAGGTGTTCATTTCCCCTTCCTCAGTGCAGCCCGAGGCTCTTGTGAACCATGCAGCATGTTTGGTAGGAGAATGTCAGCACCCATGCTCCAGCTGGGGTCCCTCCTTACCCCTCGCCCCAGAGAGTTCATGGTAAAGGGTAGGAGTGGGGAAAAGAGGCTTCTACAATCTTCCCCTGTGGGAAAGTTGGAGCTTCATGCATGGTTGTAGATCTGGGTTGGGCCCAGGCCCGCCCATTATCTCTGAGGGCACCCATTATCTTCGTTTAGGAAGACATCTCCTGTGTTCCAGGGGCCTTGGTAATTGTTGACACGTCACATCACCAGTATGTCAGGGGCTCCCATGTCACTCACTCGGCACCCATGTGTGGGTTTGGCCTCCTGAGGCACCATCCCCAGCTCATAGTCTGTGCTGACAAGGGCCAAGCAGTGCTTTTCTCCACGAGAGTTCGGGAGCTGGCTCAGGGGCTTGCCAAAGCTTCCAGGAAGCTGTAGAAGCAGAGTCAACCTTCCCAGGGGGCTCAGTTCCTTAGAAAGTCAAACGTGTCAGCCTTGTCCTCACAAATTAAAGGAAGCACATGGAAGGCCCTTCCCCCAGGCTGGGGGCCCCCAGAGCCTTTCTCTGTAGCACAGGGAGACCAAGGTAGGGCCGAGGGGAGTTTGATGGAGCTGTCAGGTGTGTCAGGACTGAAGATACAGGTGGGACCCATGCCCGCCCCTGGATGTGCCTGCAGCCCTCACTGCTGTCAGGCTAGAGTCTCTAGCCGCTAGACCCTCAGCCTCTGGTGTGGCGTTCTTAAGGATGCGCCCACTCCCGCTCTCCCCTCGCCTTGCTTATGCCTGAAATGAAGAAGAAACGAGAGACCCTCAAACCCAGAATGTGAAACTTAGCTAACTGAGCTTACAGATACACCTGAGGTTTACCCTCAGAGCGACCCTGAGACATGGCAGGATGCCAGACTCCATTCTCTGCATTCGGGTCTGGGGGTGCTTATATGGACCGGCCTGGAGCAACTGCTCTGTTTCTTATCCCCGGACGCTCTCGTTGCTCCAGGCCCTTCTGGAACTAGAGAGCACCGTTATGGGCTATGGCTCCTCCACTCAGCTTGGGTTGTCGGCAGCCTCCTGGAGGTAGCCCAGCCAGCATCTCCTTGTGCCTGCTCTGATTTCTCCTGAACGGCCCCATCTGCCTTGTGCTTCTGTGTTCACTGCCCAGGTAGTTCTCCCCAGTGATTGTGGGGGCAGCAGGGCCCTGTCAGCTTGGGGAAGGGGAAGGTCTTCAGCAGTCCTGTGGGCGGCACCTTGCCTCGGCCGGTCAGCCTCCCCACATGACCAGGTATCCCGCGAGCAGCACTGACAAAACGGCGTTCCTCAAAGGCACCTCTCTTCCTTCTGTGGAACATTTGAGCATCTGTCTCCAGGGCTGGCTGGGCTGCAGAGAAACCCATAGGCTGGTCCTCATGGCTGGGAGTGTTGGCAGGTCGGACATGCTTCTAGGGCAGTGATGGCGAACCTTTGGAGCTCGGCCTGTCAGCATTTTGGAAAACCCTAACTTAACTCTGGTGCCGTGTCACATATAGAAATTTTTTTTATATTTGCAACCATAGTACAACAAAGACTTATATTTCTGATATTTATTTTATATTTTTAACTGCCATTTAACAAAGAAAAATCAACCAAAAAAATGGATTTGCGTGTCACCTCTGACACGTGTGTCATAGGTTCACCATCACTGATCTAGAGAGTATTGGAGCCATATATATTAAAAGCCATAAAAGGCGTTCAGAGCCTTTGACCCATTAATCCCACCTCTGGGAAGTTGGCGAAAGGAAGAACCGTTGCCTGCATGGAAACGCACACAGTGACGTCTGTTTATGCTACAGAGGAACACATCCGCATCCAAATAGGAGAGATGTTTGCGTAAATCATAGCATGGCCATTCGGTGGAATATTACTCACCTGCTAAAAGTATGCCTGTGGCCCTGGCTGGTGTAGTTTGGTCGGTTGGAGCGTTGTCCCATACATTGAAAGGCTGCAGGTTCAGTTCCCGATCAGGGCACATACTTGGGTTGCAGATTCGATCCCTAGTTGGGGTATGTACATGAGGCAGCCAATCAGTGTTTCTCTCTGTCCCTCCCTCCCTTCTCTCCAAATAATAAAATATATCCTCTAGTGAGGATTAAAAAAAATCCTTACCAGATAATTTCAACATCTGAGTAATCTTAGTGTTGGCACCAGATGATGGTCTTAAAAAAAAAATGCCCCTTGTGGAAATCACTATGACATGAAGTCCTCTTAGAACCCAGTAATAGGGAGAAACAGCAACACACGGCTACACATGCATGTGTAGGAAACCAGGGCGCCCTTCAAAACTTCAAGCACCCTTAAGGCAGATGTTCAAAAACCCATCTTCAGAAACCATCTTAGAGACCAACTCAGCTTTCATTAACCAATGGGAGCAGAGCTGGCTGGTGCATGGGAGGTGGGCTCAACCTGGCGCCTAGTGGCGCCTCTTGCCCGGCACCCCCAGCCTCTGCTACTCTGCCTCCGGAGCTGCAAATCCTAGAGAGGTGTCTTTATCCATTCAGGCTGCTGTTGCAGTCCCATGGACTGGGCAGCTCAAACAACAGACATTTACTTCTCACAGTTCTGGAGACTGGACTTGCAAGATCAAGGCGCTGGCAGATTAGGTAGCTTTGAAGGACCCTGTGGTGCTGCATCTTCACACTGTCTTTACATGGCAGAAGGGGCAAGGGGACCTCTTTTATAAGGAGACTAATCCCAATCACGAGGGCTCCACTGTCATGATCTAAACACCTCCCAAAGGCCTCACCTCCAAATACTATCACATACCATAACATGAATTTGGGGGACACACACATTCAATCCATAGCAGAGGGAAGCTGACGATGGGGTTTATAAATGGTAGCCCCCTCCCCCCCGCTTTTTAGAGCCTGTCTGGCCCCTAGCAGCTGTAAGAAGTATGCATCTGGACTTAGTGCAGAGGAGCTGGGGGTGGGGTGCTGTCCTCTTCCCTTCCAGGACTGTGTCTGCCTCCATGCTCCCTTCCCTCCGGCTTCCCACAAAGTGACGCTGGCTCTGTGTTGCAGGTGGCCAACGTGAACGCCAAGGATGGGACTTGCACACTGAAGGACTGTGTGTACAAGGATGTGCAAAAGGACTGGCCTGGCTACTCCGAGGGGGACCAGCAGCTGCTAAAGCGCATGCTTGTCAGGTAAGGGCACCTCTCCTGGGCCTGGGGTAGATCTCAGGGTGCTGGGCTGGTGGTGTCTAGTTCCAAAGGCTTCAGCGCTGAGAGCTGGGTAGAGAGGCCCGTGGGAACTCTGGCCATCTTCCCCGTGCCTGTACAGCCCACCTTGGCCTCCTGCGGGGGGAAAGGCCAACCCCCGCTGTGTGGGCTGGAGAGCATACATCATTCTCCAAGGGCGTCTGCTTAGGAGGCTGTGCCTTCTTCTTAGAACCATTTAAGAATGTGAAGCAGACGACACAAAGCTCCCCGCAGATGTGAGGAAGCAGGTTAAATGCACCCTCTAGAGTTAGGGACCAGAGGTCAGGAGTGGCCTAGGGGGCTCTGGGAGGAGTCTGTGAGCGGCCTGGTCAGCCAGTGATTGATTCCTTCTCTACTGATGCTGGATGAGCACTAATTAGTTCTTAAGTGATTTCTCAGGGACCTGGAGCTCTTTATGGAGGTTTTGTTTTTTTTTTCTCTCTTTTAAGTTCAGCTCTTTAAAGCAGTAGTAATTGCATCTGGAAAACAAAGCTGAGTTGAGGCCACTCTAGGTGAACCCCAAGTTCCTCCTGAGCCCTGCAGGGCACTCGTCCCCAAGCCACCAGGCCTGAGGTCCCTGCTCTGGCTGTCCAAGGTTTCTGGGTGCTAGGGTGCTGAAAGGAGACAGTCTCTGTAGAAGACACACCCTCCCCCATGTCCCCTCTCTGGCGATCTGTTGCCCCAGCTAAACATGTTAGGTTGGCACTGTCCCCTCCTGCAGGTGTTTTCATTCATCACATAGTTTTTGGTAATAAAGGTCCAGTGTTGAAACGGATGATTATGCCTAGCCAGGTACCTAGAGGTGACAAGGGGCACTTGAGGGGCACAGCGAAGCTTCTGTCCGTCCTTCTTTTAGAGCCTCTCACTAGATGCCTAAGTTCCCAGACCCCAGGGCCTTGTCCTCACTGAATTTCCAGGAAGGGGCATGGCTGAGAGTTAGTAGCCCATGTGCATGTTTCCATACAAGTGTGTGTGCACGTGTGTGTGTATGGTCAGTAGGAAACAGCACTCAGAGGTTCCCCACCCAGCCCTGTGCACACATCCACAGGGACAGCCTTGCAGGTGATCTGGGGCAGGGGGTCAACATGGCCCCCCAGGGTCTGAAAACTTACCTTGTCCTTCCTGTTCTTGTGTGGTTGGGAAAAGGTCTCACTGTTCTTCCTCCTGCTTCCTCTAGTTCTGCCACTGGGGCACTATGCTCCTAGACCAGCCGTGGGCAAACTACGGCCCGCGGGCCGGATCTGGCCCATTTGAAATGAATAAAACTAAAAAAAAAAAAAAAAGACCATACCCTTTTATGTAATGATGTTTACTTTGAATTTATATTAGTTCACACAAACACTCCATCCATGCTTTTGTTCCGGCCCTCCGGTCCAGTTTAAGAACCAATTGTTGCCCTCGAGTCAAAAAGTTTGCCCACCCCTGTCCTAGACTCTTCCCAGTGTCTTCCCTATTATCTTTTCCCGTTTTTTTCTTTTAGGAGGTTTCTTTGGCTTCTCCCAACCTGTCCTTTTGGCCAGCATTTCTAGTTCCCAAGAGTCCTTCTTATTCTCTTTTTATAGCATCATGTTCTTTTATTTATTTTTTTTAATAAATACGTTTTTATTGATTTCAGAGAAAGGAAAAAAGAGGAGGAGGAGGAGGAGGAGGAGGAGAGAGAGAGAGAGAGAAACATCGATTAGCTGCCTCTTGCACGCGGTCTAATGGGATTTGAGCCCACAACTCGGGCATGTGCCCTGACCGGGAATTGAACAGGCAACCTCCTGGTGCATGGGACAGTGCTCAACCAACTGAGCCACACCGGCCGGGTGTATCATGTTCTTATCCAGGGGAGTGATGCCATTTTTCATTTACTCTTAAGGATATTTTTTAAAAATAATAACTTTATTGAGATACAGTTCACTTAACACAAGTCACCCATTTAAAGAATACAACCTGCCCTAGCTGGTTTGGCTCAGTGGAAAGAGCGTCAGCCTGGGGACTGATGGGTCCCCGGTTTGGGTCCCTGTCAAGGGCATGTACCTTGATTGCAGGCTCAACCTCTGGCCCTGATCGGGGGGCGTGCAAAGGCAACCAACTGATATGTCTCTCTCACATCGATGTTTCTCCCTTCCATTCTCTCTAAAAATCAATGGAAAATATCCTCGGGTGAGGATTAACAACAAAAAAAGTGTACAACTCACTGGTATTTCGTGCATTCGCAATGTTGTGCAGCCATGATCTCTAATTCCAGAACATTTCTATCACCAAAGGAGACTCCTCATTAGTAGTCACTCCCTCATTGCCCTCCCCTAACACCTGGCAATTCGTTTTCTCTTTCTATGGATTCGTTTGTTCTGGACATTTCATATAAATGGGATCATACACCATGTGGCCTTTTGTGTCTGGCTTCTTTACTCATAATGCTTTTAAGGTTCATCCAGGTTGTAGCATATGTCAGTGCTTCATTCCTTTTTATGGCCAAATAATACTCTGTTAGACACATTTTGTTTATTCATCTTTCAATGGACACCTGGGTTTTTTCCACCTCTTGGTGTAATTGTGCTGCCATGAACATTTGTGTCCAAGGATTTGCGTAGACATGTATTTTCAGTTCTCTTTAAACATATACCAAGGAGTGGAAGTGCTGAGCCACATGGTAATTCTGTGATTAACTTTTTGAAAAACCACTATACGCTTTCTCAGTGACTGCACCATTTTACATTCCCACCAGCAGTGTACAGAAGTTCCAGTTTTCTCCATCCTCACCAACACTTACTTTCCGATGTTGTTGTTTTAGTCTAACTATCCTAGTGGGTGTGAAGTTGTATCTCATGTGACTTAGATTTGCATTTCCCTGATGAAGAACGATGTTGAGCACCTTCTCATGTGCCTATTGGCCATTTGTATATCTTCTTTGGAGAGATGTCCATACAAGTCCTTTGTCTTTCTGAAGATGCTAAATCTGGTGTTTTTGTTGTTGAGTTAAAGTTTTCATCCTGTAACAGTCCTTCCTTTCAAATGAATTTTTCTGTCTATTTTGGAGCCTGACATTTGTTGCCTAAAAGCCCCACACTCCTCAGGACTTTCCTCTGGGCGGCTCCGACTCCTCTGGAGGCTTCTGTTTCCTCCTCTCCCAGGGCCACACGTCTGTCCCTCCTGTCATCCAGGTGTGGCCCAAGCGCCTTCTCTCCTGGACGTGCTGTGGGCTCTGCAGCAGACCAGTCCCAGAGCGGGCTGCGCGGGAACAGCCTGGTGGGCGCTCCTCTGAGGTCCCTGAGGCTACACCCCCTCGGCCTCAGGGTTCTGTGGCCTGGGACTTGGTTTTCTTGGATCCTATATTTCTGCTTTAGTGTTAAATACTGTTATTCTCTTGTTCCCTTTCCTCTTGATGACTTTTTAGTGGGGAACTTGAAAGAGTGGAAGAAATGCCTGTCCTTGGTTTTCGGTCTTTAACCAGAGCTCTGGTGGCTTCCCCGTGGCTGGACAGCAAGCCTGCCCCTCCTGAACCACAGGGATCGTGTTGCCTAGTGAGCACCTGCATGTTTTGGGCACCTTTCCTGTGGCTCTCCTTGCATTTTGGGCCTCAGGCAGGGGATAGCAGCAGTGGTTTGGAGTGTGGCCATTGGTCAGGGAGGCAGGCTTGCTTGTAACTGGTTGGAGCAGCACAGACGTGGTCCTCGAACCCCTGGACCTCAGTCTCCCTGCAGGGCTGGAGGAGGGCCCTCAGCACCACACACAGCACCAGGGTCACCATCAAGCTTTGGGGTGTCTGTCTCTTCTTTTATCCCTGGCTGCATTGTTTGGCTCAGGTCCAGGTTGGCCAGTAGCCACCCCTGTCATCCATAAGAAGGTGCTGTGGCCTGTGCTCCCAGGTGCTGAATCCAGGAGGCCTTCCTGTCACAGACCAGGGAGTTGCCGTTCTTTTCTGTATTGTCTAAAGTTCTGCAGTGAGCGTCATTATTAGGGTAAACAGTTGAGTGGCCAGCACCCCAGTATCCCAGCTTCCATGGTAAACAGTACAGACCTGGAGTGTTTGGTCAGTTGTATATGGTAACAGGAGTGTAGATGAGTGGGTGATTAATTGATCCTTCTCTGGGCACAGGACACCCAGTGGGGCAGTCCTCTGGGCAGTGAGGCCACAACCGATGGGCAGCTATGGATAAAACTAGGATGGGATGTACTCCGGCAGCTCTGCCCACCAGGCCTGACATACCTGTTATGCTCACCCTCCTCTGGTTCAGGGCAGCAGCCCTTTCCCATATCCCTTGGCAAAGGTGGAAGTGTGGTGTCAGTGCAGAGACAGGTGGGCCTGGGTACCCCGTGGGGTACTGCTGCAAGCCACCACCCACCCTGATTCTCCTTTGCAGAAAGCTGTGCCAGCCACAGAGTGCAGGTGGCCTCCCTGGAGACCCTGCTGCCGCCAGCCCTCCAAGAGAGCATGGGAGCTCAGTCTCACCCCCCCAGGTAGGAGCAGTGGGCATGGGTATGGCAACATGGAGATGCTGATGCTTGTGGAGGAGGAGGGAGAGTGGGTCTCAGCCAGAGCCAGTGGGCCTGACCCAGTCTTGGTGTTTGGGGAGCCTGTTGAGCTCTTGGCTCAAGGCTGGGACATTTTCTGCAACGAACGAGCAGCTGTCTGGCTTCCCCAGGCGGGAGGCCTGGGCCCAGGACCTGGGTGTGCTTTCCTGGGACATCTTCCAGTGTGGCCCAGGGAGCACAAGCACTGGACTGCCCTGAGCCTCCTGTTCTGTTGCCTCTCAGGCCTGTCGTGAGTAAAATCCTTTGTGCTGGCTACACCTTGCGGGGGCCCTGTGAGCAGTGGCTGCTGCCATTGTAGTCAGTAGTCAGTAGTCAGGAAGGGCGGCAGCGGCTGGATGGGGGCAGCGCCCACCTGCCTCTGACTGGGGTTCTTGGGCTATACCCCTTTCATCATTGCCTGAGCTTTTTGGTAAAAATTATCCCCACCCACCTTTGTGCTCTGACTTGTGAGCACATTCGGGCCCTTCTCCTCCCCTCCTCCTCTCTCTCCTCTTCACCCGCCTCCTCTCCCCTCTCTCCCTCATCTCCTCCTCCTCCTGGAGCACTCAACACACAGGGAAAAGCCAGGTCCATGCGCACCCCAGCTGTGAGGCCTCATTTCACTCACGACTACCCCCGTCCTCGGCCTGCCACCTGCAGTCTCTCTCTTTAGCTGTTTCCCTGGGTCAGGGCCACCTGGTCCAGTGCTGGCTCCCCTTCTGCGCTCTGGCTTTGCCTCACATACCTCAGTCTAATCATCTGTGAAATGGGGATGAGACCTGGACCATGTGTCAATGGGCTGCCGTGAGATCGAAGTAGTCAGGGGTTTGGGGTGATGGGTCTCAGCCAGTGGGGCTGCCCTGTGTCCCTCAGATTTGGCTTGTCACCATTCCTG